TACCACGCGAAACAAGCTTTCTCCGCTCAGCTCCGCTGCCTTCCAGGCGCGGAACCACGGGGCGGGTTCCCTGGGAGAGGCGGTGGGGGCGATGCTCAGGGCCATGGCAGCCGGCGGCTGCCCGGAGGGCTTTTGAAAAGGAGGAGACGGGTCGGAGCGGTCCCTAAAGCAAGGCGGTTACCTTGCTGAATGAGGGAAACCAGAAGCACGAAGTTCCCTGTAAGTTCTGCTTGTCGCTGTTGAATAATTGCATTATCCGGCTTTTACCATTTGCGATTTACGCAGAAGTAAGACGCTGTCCTCGAAATAGCAGACGGACCCTCACCCTCACCTATCCACAACTCCACAGCTTGGTAGCATGTCAAGGCACCCATTTATATTATGAACAGAATCTCCCCCCCCCCCGGTAATTTGGAAGAAACTGAATCCTAATGAAAAACAGTAGCGGTGATACAGTCAAAAATTAACACCGCCCTGCTTCATCTAGGTGGATCAGCCTCCATTTCACATAGGTGATGATTTTCAAAACATCTTGTTCAGTTGAATTAATTAAAGCAAACTTTACACTGATATTGGCCTCATGTCATTTGCTAGATTTGATCAAAGTTTTGCATTAATGAAGACAGGAAAAAGTTCTGGTCACCCTCTGTGGCCTGTACTGTCTTATTGGGATTTAGGGGATGTTCCAATGTTATCCATCACGCATTGCAGAAGCACCTTGTGGCTTCTTCAGACTCAACCAAGTAGGGTCAAGCCTAAGACATCTCTAGCCTGAAATTCTCTGGTGCTTAAGACAGGGCAGATTTAAGCTAAACTTGCTCTGAATATCCGGAATGATCCAGATTAGAACCTTTGTGTTTCAGCCAGTCACTGATACTGGGACCAGAACTGCTCCGACCTCTTGCTCTCCCACAAAAGAATGGAGAAGCAAAATGCACGAGCTCGCTAAAGATGGCTCTGTGGCAGGAAATAAATCAGGTTGATAAAGGATGGCGCAAGCAACATCTCAGCAACCCAACAATGCAGTAATCTGTCCTAGGAATAAATTCTTAAAAGGGAATCTGCCAGGTATCTACTAGGAAATATCCACTGCATATGGCTGAATAATAGGCCATCCACCCAAAATCTTTGGACAAGGAACAAATTTAGGTAAATTAAGGTCCTTTTTACACAGTTTCTATTTAAATGGTGAAAGGCAAATAATAATAATCCGAGAAATCTGGATATTCAATTAAAGAGCTCAGAATTCAAACGTGTGTGTCCCATTACACTTACATTTGCAAGCTGGGCACCCCATTTTTTGAGGTGAAAATGTAATATTGCTCTCTCATAATAAAACTAGAATTTGGAGAGAAACCTCATCCTAAGAAAGCTCTAATTTAGATGGTATTCCTTTATTTATTTTGCATCTCAGAAGACGCTTTCGTGGCAAGCATAGTTATCCCACTCTGGCTGCTCTCTTGCCAAAGACACGGTGGCTGGAGCTCTGCTCCGTGGCCTTCCAAGTGGGACCTTCTCGGTTCTGGAGGTCTGGGGGAGACACCCTCCCTTCACGGAGACGTGGCTTGTTTCCCTCGGCTCTTGGTGGACCGTGGGTCCGCGTGTCTCTCCCGTCTCTTGTTTGGGGTCTTCTTATCTTGTGCTGCAGCTGACCTAACTTTGCACATTTGATTATTTTATCCTATCTTGGGATTATTTTATATCAGAAAAAAACCTAACGGATTACATACATAATAATATTTCTTCTGAAATCCAACTTAAAAAGAAAGTGCTACATCTTTTCTTACAATTAGGACTATTGTTCTCCCTTTTGACTGAGATCATGGGCAGATGTTTTGCCACAGCTGGCCAGAACTTGGGAAGACTGTGAAGCAACCAGATAACATTTTGGCATCTGAGGTTGCTGTTTCTGGCTTAAGGTACGAAGAGATCTCCTAATATTCAGCTCACTCCCTTCCAGGTGCTCTGATCATCAAATCTGAAGGTGCAGGCTACGTAGTGATCAATGGCGCGAAGAGCGGACTCTTCCTTTGTATGGACATTAACGGAGATATCTTTGGATCGGTGAGTCCTAATATTCATTTAAGATCATCTGGCCTGCTTTCCCAGTGCCACAAAGCCATTAAGGACTTGTACTGTGATAGCTAACGAAGGTTTCTTTGTCTGGGAGGTGGAAAAGACAGGTTCTGTCATGCTGCAGTTCTTTTTGTTCCTTTGTAGATGTGGTGGCATAACGTGACGTGAAATGGTGCTCCCATCTTCCTCCTAGGACATCTGTGGCATGTCATAACTATTCTATAGAGAACAGTGGGGGACACACAACTCACTCCTCCCCTTGACCCCATTCTGAGCCTGACCCACAGAGCCACTGACAGTCAAGGGGGGCTGAACATGACACATGGACACAAACGCATGAGGCTCTGGGGGCAACCTCTTGCTCGAGGCCTCCCAAAACAAACAAACAAGAACTCACCATCTCTCCAGACCTTGTAGACCTCGGTCAAATCCTAATGTTCCTTGCACATTAGTTCAGTGTGGCTAAACGTGGCTGTGCATCACTGGTAAACTAGTGGGAAATGGAAGAAGTGTGAAATCACATGCCCTAAACAGTAGAAATATCAAGTATTTGGAAAATATTCAACATTTATCTAAATGTGCCGTGAAGAACTTTGGCTATAACGTACAGCTGATTTTCACTTTTGCCTTGACATTTTCTGCGTTTGCTTTCTTTAGCATTACTTCAGCTATGAGGATTGCATTTTTAAACACTGGACCCTGGAAAACGGCTACGATGTTTACCAGTCCCCCAAGTACAACTACCTAGTCAGCCTGGGGAGGGCTAAGCAGCCGCTCTTTCCCAACATGAATCCACCCGTTTACTCCCAGTTTTTAGCCAGAAGGAATGAAATCCCCTTGGTCCAGTTCAACACGCCAAGGCCTCACAGACACACGCGGGGCGCCGGGGCTGATCCCTGTGACAGCATCTTGTCAGCTGGAAAGATGCCGGAGGAAGGTGCCGGTGGGGCTCAGCTGGCCATCCGCCCCAGCTTGACCAGTTCAAATTCTGAAGAGAGAGACCCACACGGTGCCGCCCTGAACGAAAGGTTTTCCAGTCCTAGAGTGGATTCCTGAACCTGAGACAACTTGGGAGAATCTGACTCTCTCCTGAATCGTAAAAAAAGCTCAACTGTTTCTTCAGATGAATTGTTCAGAAGAAGGGGCATACGTGTGCGTGTGTTTGCGTGCTCCTAGCACTGGTCCTTACCAAACTGAATGACAAGTCTGGAAAATGGGTTATGAGAGGAGTTTTATGTATTTTGCTCGATGCACATTTTAATCTTTAAGCTTTACAACTGTAATGCTGTACAGTATAGAGTCTTGCCCGTGCCACGGTCCACACGGCCGACTGGCAGAGATTGTGCAGTTGCCAACGTCTTCTCTGTGGGTCCTGTGGCCCGATTTGCCTCCAGCCTACGGAGGATGCCTGGAACCTTCAAACCAGAAAAACCCGTGGTCGGCTGCTGCGAGAGGAGAGGGAAGGGCGAAGATCCTCCACTGCCTCCTGAATGCCCAGGCATCCGTGCAGTGAGTGCGCCTCTGAAAAATGGTGATGGGCCCAGGGCGCTGCTTCGGGACCGAGGAATCTCACCGGGAGCATCTCCCTCTGGCTGTTTCAGAGTACTCGGCTCTGCCTGGCTGAGGGTATGAATAAGACCAAGTGCTCTCACAGTGAGGTTTTTTGGTGGCCCAGGTTGTTGCAAGTCCAGCAGGCGGGGAGCCTTGAGCAAAGAGATGGGGCTTCACCTGGCTTCATCGTCCTGCGTTATGAATACGTAAGACGATGCACAGTTCTCTCTTTCAGAGGCAGCCCTCTTCCAAAACAGTGCATGACGTGACCTGTTGTCACACAGTATTCCACAACTAGTAGAAGTGGTCTGATTCAGCCAGGCTGACACCCGCGAGTTTCTCCCATTGGTCTCAACAGGACTCACTCATGACTAACCTTAGCTGGATTCAGGATACTGGCCCATCATCTCAACGTATTGGCCAAAGGTAGGCTTTGCCCAGGAAAGGCCAAATCCTGTGGTCTTGTTATGGGTTGCCTACAGCCGGATGGAGGGGAACGTGCCCATAAGCCTCCCTTCCCAGAGGAATGAGTTGTGATGCTCCATAAAGCAGCTGGCAGCCATCCCTCTGGGATGGGGTTCGAGTCCATGTCATGCCTGTCACCTCCCCCCCGCCCCCATCTCCACGATGCCAGGATTTGAGACCGGATTTTGGGAGAGGCGGTATTTGTAGCAGAACTTTGCCTAGGAAAGGTATT